GGAAGCTCTTTATTTATCCTTCAATTCTAAATGATACTTTTGCTGAGTAGAATAATCCCAGTTATAGGTCTTTGCTTTTCATCACTTTGACTATTTTGTGCCTATCCCTTCTGGCTGCAAAGTTTCTGTTGAGAAATCAGTTGACAGTCTTATGAGAGCTCCTTTGTAGGTAACTAACTGCTTTTCTCATGCTGCTTTTAAGAGTCTCTCTTTGTCTTTCACCTTTGGCATTTTAATTATGATGTGTCTTGGTGTGAATTTCAGGTTTATCTTGTTTGGGACTCTCTGCACTTCCTGGGCTTAAACGTCTATTTCCTTTGCCAGGTTAGGAAAATTTTCCATCATTATTTCTTCAAATAGGTTTTCAATTGCTTGTTCTCTCTCTTCTCTTTCTGGTACCCCTACGATATGAGTGTTGGTATGCTTGATTGTATCCCAGAGTCCTCTTAAGCTATCCTTATATTTTTGGATTATTTTTTCTTTTTGCTGTTCTGATTGGGTATTTTCTGCTACCTTATTTTTCAAATCACTAATTTGATTCTTCGCTTTATCTTATCTACTATCATTTTCCTCTAACGTATTCTTTATTTCAATCATTATCTTCTTCGTTTTTGACCGGTTCTTTTTTATGTTTTCTAGCTCCATTTTTATGTTTCCTATCTCTTTGGTGAAGTTCTCACTGAGGTCATTGAGCATCCTTACAACCAGTTTTTTGAACTCTGCATCTGGCAATTGCTTGTCTCCATTTTGGTTAGTTCTTTTTCTGGACCTTTGTTCTGTCCTTTCATTTGGGTCACGTTTCTTAGTCTCTCCATTTTGGCTGCCTCCTTGTGTTTGTTTCTACTTGTTACGTAGAGCTTCTAGGTCTCCTGGTCTTAATAGAGTGGCCTTACGTGGTAGGTGTCCTATGGGGCCCTGTGGCATGGTCCCCTTGGTCACCTGAGCCAGGTGCTCCAAGTATGTGTCCCTTGTGTGGATTGTGTGTTCCCTCCTGTTGTAGTTGAGCTTAGGTTGCTGTTTTCACATCAGAGGGAGGGATTGACCCTCTGCCTGATTGATTGTGAGAACAGGTCATGACTACAGTGGATGAGCTATTGAGCAGGGACTGACTTTACAGAGCAGGATTCACTTTAGCAGGGCTCTGGTGTCTGAAGGATCTGCCCTTTGAGTGTGTCATTCATGGAGCCTACCAGGTGGTGCTCTGGCTCAGTCCAAAGCCAGCCACTGGGCCTCCTGGGAGAGGCCCTGCCACAGGACAAATTCAGCTGCTGCCTGTGCCCTTCCCAGGGTCACCTGGCATGAGTCACAAAGCAATCTGTAAATGTCTTCCACCAAGCTGGGCTTAGAGGTGCCTGGGAGAGGCTAAGTTGTGAACCAAGTCCAGCTGCCGCTAGTGCCAGCCTTGGGGGAGCTAACCAAGAGTCACAGGCATGCTGAGGCCAGGTGCTGCTTGTTTGGGGTTTGTGAACCTTTGAGAAATTTTAGGAAAGCCCGCAGCATGGGCTATTTATATGGAAAAGCCACTGGAAGCAGCTTGGGTTGGCCTGATAGTTGGGCAGGGCAGGGTCTAAGGGAATCACCAAGATCAGGTGAAGGGTGTTAGCCAGGTTGATGGAGACGCAGATATGATGCCCCCCAGAGTCTGCACGCTGAGAGGGGGGCTCAACAAAGGAACAATGGACTCTACCAGCACTTCCGTCTGGGAAAAAGCTGTCCCAAAGCCCTTGTCCCAAAGCCAGACAATTACACTTTCTTCCCATATGTCCCTGGCACCCCTCAAGCCACTGCCCCACCACTGGAGCTCAGAGCCAGCAAGTCCGTCAGCAAGTAAGTCTGTACACCCGCCTTGTAAGAAGAGCACCTGGGACACCTACAGCCCTCCATCTCATTCGGCCACAAACTCCACTGTTTTTCACAGCCAGAAGCTGTAGGGACTTCTCTTCCTGGCACTGGTGCTCTGGGCTGGGGAGCCCTGTGTAGGTATGGGGCCCCTCGCTCCTCCCAGAGAATCTCCGCAGCCAAGGTATCCCTCTCAATTTTCAACCGCCACACGTGGAGGTGGGGCCATCTCATTTCACATCTCCACCCTACCTACCAGTCTTTACGTGGTATCTTCTGTATAGCCTTAGTTATAAAACTTTTGTTCAGCTAGACTTGAGGCGAGTCTCACTGATGGTTGTCCTCTAGGTCCGTTGTGATCGTGAGAGGAGGACTGCATAGTGTTTACCTCCTCTGCCATTTTGGCCAGAACTGAGGGCTGGCAGCTTTTTTCTTTCAGCACTTCGAATAAATTATTCCATTCCCTTCTGGCTTGCAAAGTCTCTGCTGAAAAATCTGCTCACAGATACAAACCTTACTGGCTTTCAGAGCTAGATGTTTGGGGGCTTGACCCTCAGATGGGACCTTAAAAGTTGGGACGCTAGATGTGCGGTCCAAACCCTTCGCTCCTCAGGAGAGGGTTAACTCTAGAGTTGAGGGTTTGCTCCTAATTATCTGATGTTGTGCTAGGGGTGGGGTTTACGGCGAGAATATATCTCCATCTTTCCTACCCATTTCCACGTGGGTATTTTCTCACTTGCCTGATATGTAAGAGTCACTCAGTTTCTGGATTTCTCTCATAGGGAATTGCTCCACATGTCTGTGGGAGGAGGGAAGTTTAGGAAACTCCTATGTTACCATCTTGGTTCCTCCCCTAAATTTACGTGTTATTAATTTTTTTAAAAAGCATTACTTAACCTACAAAAAAGCACAAATTTGTTTATTTTTGTAGAAGTCAACAAGCTGATTCAAAAATATAGAGATTGCAAACGCATAATAATTTTTCAAAGAACAAATTTTTAAAAGCAAAGATTTTAAAGAAGTGGAGGAATTAGACTATTTGATTTTAAGTCTTACTATAAAGATACAATAAGTGAAACAGTAAAAGGATAGACATAGATCAGTGGAACAGAACAGAGAATCTAGAATTAGATCCATACATTTATAGTCAATTGATTTTTGACAGGAGACCAAGATAATTCAAGGAAGAAAACATAGTCTTTTTAACAAATCATGCTGGAATAACTAGATGTTTATATAGATATCTACTCTTACCTCACACTGTATGCAAAAATTTACTCAAAATTAGCCATAGGTATAAATATAAAAGTTAAAACTATAAAACTTCTAGAATAAAATATAGCAAAACATATTGCAACATTGTGGTAGGCAAAGATTTTGCAGATTGAAGAAGGGACTATAAAGACAACCCGGTATATTAGAAAAAGCAATATAATTTCTGAAAATGGAAAATATAATCATTGAGAATTTTGAAAACCTGAATGGATGAGTTAAAGCAAATTAGAAATAAAAGAGAATTGGTGACTTAGAAGACATGGCTAAAAAAATTATGCAGAAAGTGCCAGACAGGAGACAAAGAGATGAAGAAGGGAAAATGAAATAAGAAAATCATAAATAAATCCAAAAGAAGGCAAGAAAGGAGGAAGAGACAAACAACATGAGAAATAAGATGGCAGAAATAAACTCAAATATATTATTAACCAAAAGTAATGTAAACATATTAAACTTAACAATTTAGTCAGTGTTTGTAAATTGGATTTAAAAAAGACACACCAAAATCATAAGGACACAGAAAAGCTAAAGGTAAATGATAAGAAATATATGTAAGCAAATAACGATTGAAAGTAAGGTAGAATTTTCTATCAATATCAGACAAAATTTTCATTAAAATACAAACAATTATTCAGTATAAAGAGGATCTCTACATAATGATAAAATGTTTAATCATTTGGAAGATATAAACATTAAAAACATAAATGCATCTAATAAAATAGCCTCAAAATATTTAAAGCAAAAATTGAAGGAATTACAAAGTGACAGATCTACCATTATAATGAAAGATTTCAACACATCTCAGTGAATGATAACACATTAGGGAAAATGATAAACTTTGACTACATAGTGGAATTAGATTTAATGAGAGTACACAGAATTCTACACTCAACAATTGGAGTATACACATTCTTTGCAAACACATACAGAATATTTACAGCAATTAACTATATATAGGCTATAAAACAAGTCTCAAAATTTAGTAGCAATCAGACTGTGTTCTCTGTTTATTATTATTATTGTTGTTGTTGTTGTCATTATTATTATTAACAAACACTTATATAGTGCTGATGATGTACCAGCACTGTTGTAAGCATTTATAATTATTATCTCATTTACTCCTCATTACAACACTATAAGATAGGAGTTGTTATTATCATCCATTTTATAGATGAAGAAACTGAGGCAAAGAGGTTAAGAAACTTAAGTAATTTGAGTCCAAGATCATACAGCTTATAAATGTGGACCTAGGATTCACATTGAAGGAGTCTAGCTTTAAAGTTCTTACTTTTAACTAATTTCTCTGCTGCTTCTTTAGTCACAAATAAACTAGAAATTAATAACAAAAAACTACCCTTTTCCACATTCATAGATTAAAAAGTATGTTTCTAAATAACGCATAGTTCAAAAAAATAATTAATTGTATTTTTTAAATCCCTAGAATTGAAAGAAGCACATATCAAATTGTAGGAGATAAATATTTCAAGGGGAATATATAGATTTAAATAAGTCTATAAAGAAGGAAGGTAGGATGCAAGAATTCTAGGAAATGTAAAAGTAATGCATAGTAACAGATTAGTGGTTACCTGAGGATCATAATGAGGATTGGAGGGAAGGGCAGGGGCAGGAGAAAGAGATTATAAAGGGACACAAAGAAAATTTTGAAGGATGATGGAATGTTCATTATCTTGATCGTGATGATGGTTTCACAGGAGTATACAAATGTCAAAACTTGTCAAAGTGTAGTCTTTTAAAACAGTTTGTTTTATGTCAATTATACCGCAATATAACTGTTTTCAAAATGTGCCCATGGAGAAAATACTTTAAAATTTATAACAATGTAAAGTGAAAAGTTAAAGTCCTTCTACATCCCCCATCTGCAACTACTAATGTCTTCGAAGTGTTCCAGAAGGACCTTCCCAAGCACATCCATCTCTCTTTCCTCCAGGTAGGTAATAATTGTTCTGAATTTTGTATTTATTATTCTCTTACTTTTTGGTTTAGTTACTACATATGCACACATTTTAAACAATATGTTGTTTAAATATGTATACTTTAGAATATGCACACATGCTATATAAGATCATAGTATATATATTTTGCAGCTTATTTTTATCATTTGACATTATGCTTTTGAGATTTAACCATGTTGGTGGGTAAAGTGAAGTTAACTCAGCTCTTTGCCTCATAGGATTCCATTACATAATTCTGCACTAATACTGAAGCTACAACACTTGAAATATGGCTATCATGACTGGGAAACCAAATTTTTCATTTTAGTTAATTTAAATTTTAATAGCCACATGGGGCTAGCAGTGCAATGCTAGAATATATACCTAGTAGCAGAATTACTGGGTCTTATGCTATGTACATCTCCTATTTTAAGGGATAATAATACATTGTTTTCCAAAGTGTTTTTACTCCCACCCACAGAGATTAAGAGCTCCTGTGGCTCTCTGGCCTCTCCAACACTTCTATTATCAATGAAGTGAGTATGAATCGGAACAATCCGGGAAGCTTTTAAACACACACACACATGCACACACACACACACACACACACACACACCTCCAGAGGGGTGAGAGGGTGCGAGTGCAGGTGTGAGTATAGGTGTGAGTGATTTCCTACTCACACACATTTCCTGGTGGTATCAGGGCTGTAGGCCTTTAGAGACATTAAATAAGAAAGGGAAAGCAGGAGAGTTCTGTTTTAGAAGAAAGGCAAAATGAAGGATTAGACTGGGGGAAAATTAGATAGAGGAAACCTGATGAAGAAGCTATTCAATAGTGCAAACAAGGGATGATGCATATCAATACTATGGTGCCAGCTGTGGAGACAGAGTTCTGTTAGTTGAGTTTAAGTCATGAAAAAGGAGCTTAACTTCTCAGTCAAGCTTCTTAACCCAATAATCCCTAATGTCCTCAGTAGGATAAAGGTTTCTAGGTCGGCGACACAATAATTACATGTTCTTGCTTTGCGAAAGGAGCGGATGTCCCCGCACAACCATCCCTTTCCCAGTGGTCCATGCGCTTTCTCTGAGGCACAGTTACTTCTGGAAGATCCTGATAAGGCCTTTATCAATGGCCTCACCTGCCCCATTTCCGAGTCACCATTTTCCCTGAAAAGTACTTGGAATGCATCTAGACAAGGCTGAGAAACAGGCACTTTTCCCTTAGTCTTAGCCTAACTTCCTCTCTGCCTGGAGCCTGGAAGGTATATCTGGACAGGGCAAAGCAGGACACTCTGCTGTGACCTCTCTGGCCACAGCCTGTCACCAGGGAGTGGTCACCTGTCATAAGCAATATTCAAAACCAGGAACCAAGGTGTGGTCTGAGTTCCTTTAAGCTCAAGGGTTTAGGGGCTCCTGGTGAGTCCCAAGAGAAGAATCCAGAAGAGAAGGATGAAAGGGGGGTAGCCTGCTTGGCGGGGGACTCCTCCTCTGCCTCGATTTCAACCTTCTGCTTCAAGGTAAGATGGGAAAAAATAGAGGGGAAATGGAAATGCTGTTCTGGACAAAATCCAGAAGTCCTCTCATTCTTCAGAACCACAGCGTGTCTAAAATAGCTGGGTTAAGCATTTCCTTTCTCTGTAGTATCTATGTTTTGGTTTCCTTTGAGGACAGATGAAAACCCCATTTCACTTGAGCAGTACACACAGCCTCTCTCTCATTTTCCTGCATAGGCATCTATCAAATTGTCTGTCCTACCATTTTACCATCTCTCTGATTCCACCCCTCTATAATGTCTAACTTTTTCTTTCTACCAAGATGTAGTAACTGTGAACTGGGTAGCTTGGTACTGTTGACAATCACATAACTCCTTTCCCATCTCACATGGGAAGATCTTGTAGAAGTGATGTGGAGGGAAAAGGACAATATTTGCTTCCCCTGGAATATCTTTCTCCTTAGTTTGGAGATGTATCTTATGAGTTAACTGGTATGGGGAGATAGTGGAAGAGGCATGGGAAAGAACTTGCTGGGCTATAGTTACAGAAATAAGCACAGAGCCATCTGGGCTTGTGGTGCAGGTGAGGTGGCCAGAAGGGCTTTTACATTTTATTGTATAGCTTCACCAACCACGTGGTGGATGATCAATGAGATCTTCTCAAAATGATGATAAAAATGACTCCCACAGATCTTAGAGGAATTCACTGAATTTGAGAAGGGCGCAGAGCACAGCACACAGGTAGTCAATAAATTCACATTGAATACGCTTCTTTAAGTTTTCACATATTTCACATCACACTCATGTTTACTTCTCTTCAAACTTTTTCTTTCAGGAAATGAGAAAACATGGATGTGGGAAGGGAAAATTGAGAAACAAAATTTTAGGAAAATTTTGGTCAAGGACTATGAGGAAGAATCATAATAGAGCTAGAGAGAAAAAAGCATGGTCAGACAAGAGCCAGACCTTTAAGTGCTTCTAAAGGTTACAACTATGGAAGGAATAGAGGGATTGTTTGCATATAAATTTGGGTAGGCTTTACATGGGAGCAAAGGCACAGGAAGAAAGGTCTGAACTCTGAGCCCTGAAAGGTCGGCTCTCCACATCAACTTCCACCATTTGCCTACCAGACCAACCCGCTCTCCCTGACCCTGGCAGGAAGAGCTTGGCCGTTGAGAGTCTTGACCCAAGAAGGAGGGGCTCACATGCCTTGCCCCATGTCTACATTTTCTTTCTCTGCAGAGAGGCTCTTAGCCCCAGCGCTGGCACTCCTCTCACTTAGGAAACACAAAAGCCCTATTTCTATCTCACAAGGTCTCTGTTCTCCACAGGAAGGGCAAACAGTTTCACCATCAACTGCTCAGGCTTTGACCAGCATGGGGTGGACCTTGCTGCTTTCCAGGCTATATTTAACCAGAAGGTCTTCCGTCCAGTCATCAACCACAGCATCCCCACTCAGGTCAACATCTCCTTTACTCTGTCGGCCATCCTGGAAGTGGTGAGTTCTTTCCATAGACTGCTAATAAGGAACATAAAGTCTTTTTTTAATTTTTCTTTTTAATTTTTCAATTATAATTAGGATACAATATTATATTAGTTTCAGGTGTACAACATAGTGATTAGACATTTATTGAACTTATGAAGTAATCACTCTGATAAGTCTAGTAACCATCGGATAACATATACATATTGTAATGCATAGTTATTATAATACATAGTTATTACAATATTATTGACTATATTCCCTATGCTATACTTTCCATCCCAGTGACTATTTTGTAAATACCAATTTGTACTTCTTAATCTCTTCCCCTTTTTCATCCATTCCTCCAACCCTGCCCCCCATCTGGCAACCATCAAAATATTCTCTGTATCTATGAATTTGTTTCTGTTTTGTTTGTTCATTTATTTTTTTATTTTTTTGATTCCACATATAACTAAATTCTATGGTATTTGTCTTTCTCTGACTTAATTCACTTAGCATAATACCCTCCAGGTCCATCCATGTAGCTGCGGATGGCAAGATTCCATTCTTTTTTATGACTGGGTAATCTTCCATTGTATATATGTACAACCTCTTCTTTATCTATTCATCTATTGATGGACACTTAGGTTGCTTCCGTGTCTTGGTTATTGTAAATAATGCTGCAATGAACATATGGATGTCTTTTCACATTAGCGTTTTGGGTTTCTTTGAATAAATACCCAGAAGTGGAATTACTGGGTCTTTTGTCTCTTATTATAACCTTTGTTTTAAAGTTTATTTTGTTTGGAATAAGTATTACTACCCAGATTTGTTTGTTTGTTTGTTTCCACTTTCATAAAATATCTTTTCCTACCTCTTTACTTTTAGACTATGTGTGTCTTTCAATCTGGAGTGAGTCTCTTGTAGATAGCATATATGATGGTCTTGTTTTCTTATCCATTCAGCCACCTTATGTCTTTTGATTGAAGCATTTAATCCATTTACACTTAAAGTAATTGTTCCTAGTTATTGCCATTTTATTATTCATATTTTTTATTTCTTCTTCTCCTTCTTCTCCTTCTCCTTCTCCTTCTCCTTCTTCTTCTTCTTCTTCTCCTTCTCCTCCTCCTCTTCCTCTTCCTACTTCTCCTCCTCCTCCTTCTTCTTGAAGTCCCTTCAACATTTCTTGTAATACTGATTTGATGGTGATGAACTCTTTTAGTTTCCTCTTGTCTGGGAAGCTCTTCATCTGTCCTTCAATTCTAAATAATAGCTTTGCTGGGTAGAGTAGTCTGGGTTGTAGGGGAGCAAGGTTTTTACCCTGTTAACTCAACATTGCGTTGGTCCAGTGGTGAGCAATGAGTCCCCTGAATGGATTTTGTACAAGTTAGATGTTCATCCTTTGGGGTAAAGAGATGTGAAAAGGACTATTGCCATGACATTTCTGCAGAGAACATTTGTCCTGCCTTATGGGAATATTCTATAAAAAAAACATATTCCCACTGGGCCCCCATGATGTTTGTCTCCTACAATTTCCATGCAACCCACAGTTTTCTGACCTACCTTTTGGGACTTGTGATTAAAAAGCTGAACTGTCACATGGGACCACTTAGGAAACAAAGGCAGGAGGTAGACTAGGACCTGATTTCTTGGCATTAATAATCTTGAGTGGGGAATTTGTTTTTTATCAGGATGCCCAACTTCAGCTCCTGACATCATTTCTGTGGTTAAACTTGGTATGTAAGTTCAACTTTTTTCTATCTTTCTCCTTCCCCCTTTTTTCTGGCTTTGTTTGCAAAAAAAAAAAAAAAAATCACATTTATTGAAATTAACAGTGCCCGAGGGAATGAACACATTCAACCAGAATGGGAATCAATGCCAGGGACAAATAGTTGTCTAGGCTGCCAATCAACTTTGAAAGACATAGATGGAAAATACAAGAAGGAGGGCAGCAGAATTGGAAGCTTCTAAGGAAGCTTCAGGGCCCAAATGCATCCAGCCCCCAGCTTAATATTTCTCTGAGTGGAAAGTGAAAGCCAATAAGACTATGTTAGCTGGGGCGGTGGTGGGGGCCGGAGTGGGGGAATTATCACCAGGATGAGAAGAAGAATCAGAGTTCAGAAGAAAATGAGGTTAAAAAAAGCAACATGTATAACAATGTACATTGTATGATTCTATCTGTGCAAATAATAATGAATGATAAAATATGTATTAATTTTTTTCTAGAATGATACATAAGAAACTATTAATAATTGGGAATATGGACTGAGTTGGAGTGAATTGAGGAGGGAGAAGATTGCTTTTTATATTATAACTTTCTGGAATGCTTTAAGTTTTATTGTATACCATAGTACATATATTTAGAAAAAAAATACATACAAATGTATATATTTTTAAGGGAATGGAAAGGCAAAAGATGCTGACATAAACTAGCTCCAGGTTTCAGTCATAACCATCCCTCTGTGCCCTGTGCTCTAGACCTGGAATAACCCATTTATCAGCTAGGACCCAGAAGAATGTGGTCATATCAACAAACTCACTGTGACTACTGAGAACCTGTGGCTCCCAGACATCTTCATCAAGGAATTGTGGGTATCAGGGCTGGGAAAAGCTGGAGGGAAGGCTAGGGTAGTACAGGACAATCTCGTTCCAAGTGGCCACTAAAAACTTATTTCAGAGAGGAGTATAATCATAGCTCATCAGCTTCTCCCCTAGAAATGGAAAAGTGGTGGACACAAACAATGGCAGAGTGGCCATAAAGAACAACATTGAGAAGTTCCATCTTAAGAAAGAAACTTAAACTGGTATGAAACGCAGAGCATTTGCCTCCCTTTTCTCCCGCCACCTAGCATGAATGTGGATCAGACCCCAGAAGGCCTCTCTGCATATGTGACTAATAGTGGTCACATTGCGTATAACAAAACAATGCGGGTAACCAGCATCTGTAGCCTGGACATCTTCTACTTCCCCTTTGACCAGCAGAACTGCACACTCACCTTTGGCTCTTTTCTCTACACAGGTGAGTGGCAGTGGGGCTTCTGGAATGGGGTAAAATAAAATCAACCAGTGGGACAGCCAAAAAGCACACATAAGCAAAGTCATTTTTAAAAAATGCATAAAAAGAGACGTGGAGAATTTGATAATTGGAGGTGTATGGATGTTGAGGTGGGGAACTTAGGTAAGGACAAGACTTCCTGAGAAAACCTGGAAACAAAGGAGGCAATTGAGCAGCAAACAAGTGATGGTATAGGGCAATTTGGGAAAGGTAGCTGAAATAGTTCTCTAATTCATTGCTCTGAGCCCTGCGTAGAACAGATGTTGAACAGATATGTATTGAAGGAATGTTTATTTCCCCTGCAGTGGAAAACATGGTGTTGGGCATGGACAAGGAAGTGTGGGAGATAGCAGACACCTCACTCAACATCGTTCGCACACAAGGGGAGTGGGAGTCCCTTGGCATCAACAAGGCCACCCTGAAGATGTCTGTGGGCTCCAGTCTTTTTGACCAGATAATGTTCTATGTAAGGATAGAGATTCTGGCATGGCTGTCTGTCTCCTGGATCTCCATTATGGGAATCTTCTAAGTTCCAGAGCCTCTCGGTTTTTGCCCCAGGATTAGAAAGCCTCTGGATACTATAACCCTCACAAGCCCTCTTCTCTCCCAAGTTCCTCAAAGCAGCCCCTCTCCCTGAACCTGCCAGCTCTGCCTAGGTTTTCTTTAGCAGTTATGGGGGAGTCTTGTCAGTCATATGAAAACTGCTCCTCATCATCCAGCCACAGAAAGAGCCCCTGTTGGGATGAGGACACCAAGGAAGGAAGGGGCTGGAACTAATCGTAGGTCTCCCTTTAGTCCTAGCTCCACCTGGCTCTCTGTTCTCTCCTCCCTACCAGGTGGCCATCAGGCGCAGGCCCAGACTCTACATCATAAACCTTCTGGTGCCCAGTAGCTTTCTGGTTGCCATTGATGCCCTCAGCTTCTACCTGCCAGCAGAAAGCAAGAATCGTGCCCCATTTAAGATTACTCTTCTGCTGGGCTACAATGTCTTCCTGATCATGACGAATAAACTACTCCCTGCCAGGGGCACCCCTCTCATCAGTATGTATCCCTACCCCAAATGTTGGGAAATGTGAAAAAAAAAGGAGGCGGGGTGGGTGGGTGACCTGGCTAGACCTGCTGAGCAAATAAGGCAAAAAGAAGAAAGAACTCATCATAGAAAGAGTTCTCTGTGGGAGACAGTAGAAAGGGGAAGGGAGTGGTTCCTTTGGACCTACCTCACTCAGGAGTGCTCCCTACCCCCACACCAGGTATCTACTTTGCTCTGTGCCTGTCACTGATGGTGCTCAGCCTGCTGGAGACCATCTTCCTCACCTACCTGCTGCACCTGGCCACCACTCAGCCCCCACCCATGCCTCAGTGGCTCTACTCTCTGCTCCTCTACTGCACCAGCCCAAGGAAATGTTGCCCCACTATACTCTGGAAGGAGAATGTGGGCCCAGCCCTCACTCCCACTCACCTGCCTGGTAAGGGAAGTCAGCACTACCCACACTCTCTTAAATTCCCCAACCCTTCTCTTCTCTAATCCTGCCTCTCTCCCACTTCATGGCTGAGTCTCTGTCCTCTCCACAGGCCTGAAAGAGCTGAGCGAGTCAGTAGAGAAGGAGCTGGGACCCAGAGAGGCAGAGCTAAATAGGGGCTCAAGATTGACAAGGGCCCAGCTAACTGACCTGTGGGTGCAGTTCAGCCACATGATGGACACCTTCCTCTTCCGCCTCTACCTGCTTTTCTTGGCCTCCTCCATCATCACAGTCATTGTCCTCTGGAACACCTAGGAGTCGAATTCTAAAATGCCAGCACACTCCGGTGTCTGGTTTTCCTCAACTTCAACTAACCAGCCCAGACCCTGTTCCTCTGCTCCAATCTGCACACACAGTTTCACACGTGCCTGTGATCCCTGCTCCAGCCCTCCCTGGGCTTAAATAGAACCATCACCAACTCTCTCAGAAAAGAGCAATAGTTCCCCAGTAGAATGCAAAATGGTGCAGACATTTTGAAAAACAGTTTGGCAACTCCTCGAAGTGTTGAACAAAGAGTTCCTGCACGACCTAGCAATTCCATTTTTACATATGCACCAAAGAGAAATAAAAGCATATGTCCACATAAAAACTTGTACTCAAATGTTCATAGCAGCACTATTCATAATAAATAGCTAAACAGTGGAAACAAACGAAATGCCTATCAACTGATGAATGGATAAATAAAATGTTATATATCCACACAATGGAATATTATTTGGCCATAAAAAGGAATGAAACGCTGATACATGCTACAACATGGATAAGTCTTAGAAACATGCTAAGAAAAGCCAATCACAAAAATAAACAAATATTATATAATCTCACTTATATGAAATGTCCAGAATATGCTAATATGTAGATATAGAAAGTAAATTGATGGTTGCTTAGGACTCAGTGGGGAAAGGGGCAGGTGAATGAAGAATGACTGCTAATGGGTATAGGATTTGGGGGGAGATGATAAAAATGTTCTAAAATTGGACTGTGGTGATGATTACATAACTCTGTAACTATACTAAAAACCTTTGAATTTTATGGTTTAAATGGGTGAATTTTATAGTATGTAAATTATATCTCAAAAAAGGTGTTAAACAATAAATAAAATAAATAACCCCCCCACAAAAAAATTCTCTCTGTCTACCACTTCCCTCTTGCTTATTCTCTTATCCACTGCTCCCCACTGCCATTTCCCTGACTCTCTGATTCCTGGATCCATATTTTCATCTTTTATCAGTGTCTTCCCTTATCCTCCACCATTGATGATTCACGAGGGGCTCATAGATCTCAGCTCTCCACTCACCTGTCAGCTCTTCCTGCTTCCTTGATGTTAACATCAGTACAGCTTCAGCTCAGAAAGAGCTTCTGCCATCTCTAACCATACAAAACCCTCACTGCCAGACCAGTTCACAGCTCCTTGATAAAAGATGGGGATTCAGACATTACACCTAAGACGAGTAGTTCCCAGAGCCTTGGACTATTTCACATGGGGATGAAGAAGGGTGGGGAAGTGCAATTAAAAGCCAAAGCCCTGCTTCACTTTCTGCAACTGAAGATGAAATACAGGGCTAGGGCAGCTGATAACCTCTACTGGTCAGCTGACAGGTGGAGCTCATGTACATGCAGCATGTCATTGGGCTTAAATGAGAGTGCAGATTAGTGGTGACCAGAGGGAAAGGGGGGGAGGGAGGAGACAGATAAGGGTAAAGGGGGTCAAATATATGGTGACGGAAGGAAATTTAACTTTGGGTGGTAAACACAATGCAATATACATATGATGTATTATTGAACTGTACATTTGAAATCTATATAATTTTATTAATCAATGTCATCCCAATAAATTTAATAATAAATAGTGTTATTTATATTTTTAAAAAATAAGAATGCCAGTCATCTGGTCCCAAGAACAGCAGAATGGAATGAATGAATGAGTGAAGCATTCACTTATTCATTTATCCAATCTTTACTAAGTTTTTACATATATACTAAACACTTTTTCTAAGTGCTGAGGAAATGGTAATGAATAAGACAGGCAGGAAGAGACTGATTTTCTAAAGTAACCTAAATAAGATGATTTCATATACTGATAATTGTTCTGAAGAAAATAAAACAGGGCAATAGGACTGAGAATGACCCACAAATTAACCAGATATGCTAGGAAGGCCTCTCTAAGAAAGCGACATTTGTGCCAGCCCGGAAACGAATGATAAGGATGACATATGCCCTGGGGTGCCATATTGGTGTACCCATAAGAGAAGTTGGGATGAAACATAATAGGTACTACATTTATAGAAGAGATCTGGGTAGCCAGAATCTTTGAATGAGCAAGGTGAGAAATTGGAGGGAGAGTCTTCTGTTGGTTATTTTGTTGCTATTACATAATATTTAAGAATTGTGAGGGTAAGCATTTCTAATCTACTTAAAGGGTTTAGAATAGTATCTTTCAAATAGTTTTGATCACATAATATATTTTACTAACCCATGCATACGGTCTCGCTCAAAAAAGAAGTGGTGATAATACAGAATTGAAAAACAACAAAATTAAAAGTTGCAACAAACATTGCTAGAAGTACATATGGATTTGCTTACTATATACTACGTAAGAGAATATGAGTTTGCATGTGTCTTTTTAGTTATAGAATAATGCCCCAAAATTTTAAATAGGTAATATTCTTATTACACTTATCTTGATATTATATTACAAGTTATTTAGCTTGTACTCTGAAAGTACATTACCATGTCATGTCACTACACATCCAGATTTGGGGGGAATTTATATATACCCACTTTAACAATAAGAAATAGAGACTCAAACCACAAAGCAAAACTACTTTTGATGAAAATATGGATCACAACATCCTGAAGAGGAAGTCAAACAATTCAGGTGTCATTGACGAGATGATGGGTAATGAAACAAAGCTAGCAGTTTATTACTAAAAAGCATAAGTAGCAGCTTGACCATTTCAGGTCAATGCTGCTGATGCACTGATAATAAAAGCCCTCGAAATTGAGAAAATTCCAGTAGTCCCCATGTCTGCCTGCAAACAGGAGCATTGTGACTTTCCCAGAGGCTCTGGGGTCTTAGTAGAATGCCAGATTGGAATACTGAGGATGTTCAGGTAACATGCAAATTTTAGCTTACAAATGCCTTATTTCAGCAATCTTGAATTAGCATGTCCTTAATGACAAGTAAAACTGAAAGGAAATCCTGAAGAAAGGACTTGGATTTGTTAGCCCTTCGGGAGGCCCTCACCATCCTCAGGTGGGAACCCTGCTCAGGACCCTCTGGGATCGTTTATGACCTTAGAACCTTAGGATGTGCAAAAGAGCATACTATGTATACTGTACCTACATTATCCATATTTTCCTGATGAAAATTTGGACACATTGCCAGACTTTTTTTCTGATTTTTAAAGTCAATTATAGGAACAGCCTTATAAAAACCTGTAAATAAAATTGCATTCATAGACTTAGTGAGTTGCCTTTATCATAAAACAAAGTTACATGAAAATAAATATGAACATTGCAAAGGAAACAAAGAACACATCAACTAACATGTACCTGTAATTTTCATCATTGATCTACTGTTGAAGTGGATGAGTTGGTGAACTATTATTCTATTTGTCCTTGTTGAGCAAGAACTCTGCTTGTTTAACTATTAATGGGTCTGCAGTTAAATGGAGACATGATGACTTCTACAGTTTTCCTAAAAAGTTTAGGTCCTTCCTTGGCTTGGACGTAGAAGTTATTTTAATAAAAATAGCCACCATTTACTGAGTACCTCCTATATGCCAAGCCTGTTAAATTCATTATCTCATTTGATCCTCACAACAGTTCTATGAAGTGGATAGTAACATTATTCCCAGTTAACAGATAAGAACATCAAAGTAGAAAGAAGATTCTTCAAGAGAATCAAACAGCAAGTAAATGGTAGAACTATTTTGAACCCAATTTTGTCTAACTCTTAATCTTATGTTTTAACATATCTAGGTCATTGCCAAAGAATGCAGAAATAATAATTCTTGAATATGAAAAACTAGGCATTGGACTATGAATCCAGAATTATCTCTATCGAAGGACTCTCCCATCTCATTCTATTTGATAACTCTTAAACTCAAGGTGTTAGCTTTCACTGGGGCCACCATCAGCTTTTGAACTTTGCAGAGCTCCATGATTTCCTTGCCTCTCACTGGGACCCTCAGAAACTGGCTTGTTCACACATATACAAATGAATGCATGTATAACTGCTGAAATCTGAATAAGCTCTATGGAGTATATTGCTTAAAGATAATTTTCAGAAAAAAAGCAAAATCATGACTCTCATACAAATAAAAAAATGAATATATATTAAAGAATTGTTTGAAGTCATAGGATATGACAGAACCAGGCAGCTGTTAAAACTGGTTCAAAGGATAAGTAAAAAAAAACCCACAAATTTATATGGAATCGTATTGAATGTATTGAATTGTAAATAGAGGCAATTTTTCCACAGGAGGAAGAAAGTCTACTGAACTCTACAGGACAAGATAGAGTTTGGATAGTGAAGATATTGAACTTTTATCTAAGCCCCGTATTCCCAAAAAATAGCGATGAATAAGAAATCTACTCAGTCTTTTGCTCTTTGAAATCCTCATCCTTTTGTGTTCCAGGAAATGACTGACTGCAAAGAACTGCCTTTTCCCGTATGTCTTAGATAAGACCTACCATCCACTCTTTCTCATGACTTCCATAGGACTCAACAAATGCCTTCCTTGTTTACCTATAACAAAGCCTAACACTAACTTTTCCCCTAATTTCTGAATCTGCTGACAAGACCAGACATAGATCCTCCAACTCCTGGTTCTTTGTCACATTAACTATTAACTGAAATTAAAATTTTTTACCCTCTAAAACTGTCTGGACACGGAGGTAAACATTTCCCATTCAACTGACTGAGATTGCCCCTATTACAAAACAATCCCAACTGTAAATCATTTCTCCTATAACTTGTCTACTTCTCACTTCAAAAAAAAAAGTCTAAGGCAAAACCACCCTGCCAAGGTGCTCTGAACTACAGAGTTGGGTGATGTTCCTATTGCAATAGGCTGAATAAAATTAATCTTCTTAATAGTTTGATCTTTGTCTTTGACATTATCTATCAGTTACCTGCAATTTTAGAAGAGCCGCAACATAGTTCAAAGACGAAGAACAGGGCTAGAATCAGACAACTGAGAAAAGTTTCTATAGATAATGCATAGTATCTCATTGAAGTACAAATATTT